AAAATAGTTCTGGATTCTTGCTTGTCAGGCTTAAGATTGTAATTTTTACTGGTAGATTTACTAGCTTTTCTCTCCCAGTTTCATTTTAAGTAACCCCAAGAACTATCAAATATTTAAATTATCACTTTAGTACATAGATTAATAAATACCTTTACTTTTTTGGTTTTTTGAGACAGGATTTCTCTGTGTAGCAGCCCTGGCTATCCTGGAACTCACCTTGTAGACTAGGCTGGCCTCAAACTCAGAGCTCCACCTGTTTTTGCCTCCTGAATGCTGGGATTAAAGTTATGTGCCACCTCTGCTTGACAATACCTTACTTTCTAAATGAGCCAATACTTTTCCATTTGATTTTTCATAGAAACATAGTCCAAGTATCATTTAAAGGCATTCACTAAGAAGTTAAGTGTTGTGGAATAATCTTCTTGTACACTGTGAAGATGTGTCTTTGCCAAGGCATTTTCTGATTGCTTTAATAAGGAGTGAATGGCCAACAGCTAGGCAGGAAGAGGTTAGGTGGGACTTTGGGTGCAAGAGAGATGCCAGAGGACACAGACAGGAAACAGGAGGTGCAAAATGGAAGAGAGCTAAAAAGCCATGAGGTAAAACAGAGTTTAATATAAATGGGTTAATTTAAGTTATAAGAGCTAATGAAACAAGGCTAAGCTATAGGTCAAACTTTCATGATTAATAATAAGTCTCTGTGTTGTTTTTTTTGTGAACTGATGGTCTAAGAAAAATCCATCTACAGTTAAGAATAGACAGCATCTAATTCTGGAAATAAAAGAGTAAAGAATACGAGTAATACAATAAAAGATAAAAATAAAATGTGGAAACATATTCTGAAACCTAGAGAGAAGTGAAATAGTACCTAACGGGAGGTTGAGGCGGGAGGATTACACGTTCAAGGCCAGGGTATATTCAGAAACATGGGATAAAGATGCAGGTCTGTGGTGGAGTGCTCGCCCAGTGTATGCAAGGCCCTGCGTTCAGTGTCAGCACCCCTCCCCACAAAGGGGAAGAAGGTCTCAGCATTAAGTACCTTGTATCAAGATGATGTGGCCAGAAATACACCACAAAAATCAAGGTCAAGCTCTGAAGGGTGACAGTAGAAGCACAACAATGCAGTTTAAGGCTGAGAAGCAGACTAATAGAAGCATAGCATTTTTTATTGCATTTAAAAGTTAATGGGAGTGTTAACTGCTAAACCCCTTGAAACACCAAATTATGGGGAATTTACACTAACTATAAATTTATTTTAACTTCAAAGAGTAATGGACAAAACTACATGTGAAATTTTGAAACCATTTTAAATCAATAATGTTTTGATAGCAATAAATATGTATGGGTAGTAGTTAAATAATATAGATATCATTAAAACAATATACCCTGAGCCTTTCATTAGCTCCTTTCCTCACAACTGTGACAAATAACTATCAGAAATAGCTTACGGGAGGCCGGTTTGATCTGCTCACAATGCAGGGAGGTCAGTCCTTCATGCAGGGAAGCATGGGGAGGGAGCTATGGAGGCATCTACTTGTTATGTGGAGTCAATCAGGAAGCAGAGAAAGCTCAGGCAGGAAGCAGAGCAGGGTCTGTAAGCCTCAGGTCTACCTCCATGGCATTGTATCTGTAGGTCTTCTGTCCAAAAGTCTCTACAGCCTCCCCAAAACAGTGCCATCAGCTGGTGACCAATGCATATACACCTGAGCCTGGGGGATGGGGGACATTTCAAATTCAAGCTACAAGCCTAAAATAGAGAATATGAAATATTTAAAACTATGGTATCATAGCTTACAAAAAGAAATCGTGTAAATACAAAGTGTATTGTGTAAACTAATTGCCATCACTTCAGGGTTTATTATTAGGTGAGTCCTCTGTTATTCTTTGCTTTCCCTGGGTTCAGTTGCCCATGGCCAACTGTTTAAACCAGTGGTTCTCTGCCTTCCTAATACTGTGACCCTCTAATACAATTCCTCATGTTGTGGTGACCACAACCATAAAATTATTTTCATTACTACTTCATAACTGTAATTTTGCAACTGTTATGAATTGTAAATGCAAATATCTGTATTTTCCAATGTTCTTAAGTGACGTAGTATAAGGGTTGCTTGACCCCCCTCCCCCAGGGGCCATGACCAACAGATTAAGAACCACTGGTCTAAACATTATATTGGGAATTCCAGAAGCAAGTCATAAAATGCAAATTGTACACCATTCTGAGCTTGATAAAGTCTTGCTGTCTACCTAAAGCATTAGTCAGCCCTTACCATATCTTGTATTTTACTACCTACTTGTTAGTTGCTTAGCAGCCATTTTGGCTGTTGGATGAACCATCCCCTCCTTGTTTATATATAGAGCTCAGTACTGTTAGCACTTTCAGGCATCCTCTGAGCATTTGGAAAGCATTCTGTATGGATGAGGAGACCTCTGTGACATCACTGCCATCCTTGGATTTGAAGCAGAATAAAATGTGACTTTATTAAAAAGAGAGAGAGAGAGAGAGAATAATTGTTATATATTTTCTGGGTTTTGGTTTGCAGGAAATGCTAAGAAAATACACATTGTATGATTAATGGATGAATTATTATAATTATTGAGCAATGCAGTAATATGTCAGGAAATTAAAGCAAGACAATCATATTTTTCCCTAAGGCATAAAGTAAAAATTAGTAAGAAATTAATAAAATAGAACACATTTAAAACTCACACTGAATTCCTGGGAACATTGTGACTATTCCTGGGGCATCAACAGCAAAGACACCATTCCAGTGCAGTCCTGCTTGATGAGCCAGTGAATTGATGTGGCCACTTATAGGGTCATGGGTTACTCAAAGGCAGCACCATCATGGAGAAGGTCACCTCTTCTTGGTACAGAATCACAGATGCTGCATCTCTGAGAAGTCCCTTGTCCAGCTTACAGGCAGCTCAGCCCAGGAATGAGGGGCCTTGGAAATCTGGTAACATCTTGAGTCTCCCGACCCTTGAGATTTTCCTTGGCATCTTCATGTTATGAGCCTTCACTGGGAGAAGTGTTGCAATTCAGAGGAAAAGGCAGCATAGCAGGAGTATTGCTGCCGTAGAACTGTCAGTACAACTGATAAACAGCTTCCTGGAAAACCAAAGGAAAAATGGCAGTCAGATATTCCTATTGTATCATACTGCATGTTCATGTTTTCATTTTTGCAAATAAATATTTTGGTGTTGAACATGTAATTGAGTGGTATTGCACATTCATCACATTCAAAGCAGTGGTTTTGTTTTTGGAACTATAAATGATCCAAGTAGAATAGAACATTTGAGGATCCTGACAATCATGGGGGTGGGAGTGGCAAAAATAAACACAAAAGAAAAAGAAAAGGCAAACTTTGAGATAACCCACCAAAAATGATCATTCCAGACATTTTAAAACACCTTTTAAAATTTAACTAGAAAAATTTAATGCTTATCTTTTAAAGTTTGGAGAATAATGTATGGTTGATGAGTATGAAGATGGCATCACTTTTATTCTAACCTAAAAAATTAGCAATAAAAGGTATGTGAATAATGTAGTGAAATAGTCACAAAGTAAACATAGCTACTAGTCCAAGGGACTAGATTATGCGACACTTCCTCAAAACCTTCCCTTTCACTGTACTGTCCTTTATAGTACTAAAGTATTAGATCTTTGCTGTTTTTAATTATCCTTTTAACACAATTTTGCCTATTATTTTATATTTATATAAATGATGTTGGATCGTGAATGTTAGGAGTAAAGAAAAGATGCTAACTGATCAAGGCTTCTCCTATAATGAAACATAGGACTCTAAGAAGGAAAACACTAAAACTTTGTCAGAGACCTCTAAATAAAATGGACCGACCACCTATCTTCAGTGACCTTTTCCTTGACTAACATGCTAGAAACTTTTAGAGCTAACTGATTTTTCTTGAACTACTTATCAGAATGTTGTGTGGTGATTTAGGGATCCAGATGTGAAAGGATTCTGTAGCCAGAATACTGGGAACTTGTCTCAGCAATCAGTCAGTATGTAGCCTTTGTAAAGTGTGAGGGTCTTGTTGTGCCCTGACCTTTCTTTAATGACTATGAGATACTTTCCTGTTGAAGAGACAGCTTTATGTTTTGTGTATTCCCCTTTATCTCATCAACAAGGCAAATGGGGTAATTTTAAACTCTACATGTATTCTTCTGTTGTTAACTGTTATGGACTCACTTTCTTTTTCATGATTTGCTGCTGTGGAGCTTTGTGTAAGGTACTTGGAACCTGTCATTATTTAGGAATGAAAGCAAAAGCTATTATGTGATGCTGACAGTGCTCACTGAGTTTTGACTTTATTAGAAAACCCCTGTATGACTATTTTAGTATGTAAACAATTGTCTACACAGAAACTTAACATGTAATTGTTATTTAATTTTTGGAAAATACATCAAAAAGTGAATTGGTCTTAAATTTGAAATGATTTAAAAGAAGAGGGAATTCAAAATTAATTAATGTGTGATATGGGTTATGGTTTTTCCTAAACAAATATGATGAATATAGTAAAGATGAAATGTTGATCTGCTTATTCATTAGGGAACAAACAGATTGTTGAAGCAAACTAAAATAAGCAACAAAAAATTATGTGCTGACTTCCATTTTTACTTTTTTGTTGTTTTGTTCTCTTAAAGATTTTGGTTGGGAAACATAAATTCAATGGTATAAAGTAAGTAAAACAGATGAAAAGAAATGTAAGATTCTGAGAAGTAATATTTTCACTATGTTTCAGGTATATGAAAGAAAAGTTGTGGACATCTTAGGTTTCTGAGTTCAGGCTGAGTGTAGGAACAAAGCTGCTTGTTTTATGTATTTGAAATGTTAACATTTTCATCTCAGAACAAAGTACACCTTAATTCATGAAGCTGATAAACAATTAATGTGATGTCAGTTTTACAAAGAGCAAAGATACCAGATTGTTGAAATGTTTACCTAAAGTTTTCCATGCCATTTTTTGTTTGTGTTTGATAGAGTCCTGTGAAGATAAACCAGATTAGCTTGGATGAAAGTGGAGAACACATGGGCGTGTGTTCTGAGGATGGCAAGGTATGTGATTAAGTGGCCACGGGGAAAGTTGCTTGAGCAGTGAGTGTTGGATTTTACCCTTGCAAGTGATTGGATGCTCTCTGCTTACTTTACACCTGTGTGCAGAGAGCCTTGATTATTTTTTTCAGTATTGGACTTGCTTTTGATTGCTCATAATTAAAATAAAATATATTTTGCCCAAATGTGCCTTAGGAAAAGTAATTACAAGAATGTCAATAATCTAACTAGTATTAAGCTGATTAACAGCTGTGGCAGGGTGACGTACCCCCTTAATCATTACTGCTGTGCCACTTTGACTCCAGTGACTAGTCTGCAGTTCCTGCAAGACAGTAGTTTAATGCTTTTCTGCCATAAATCCACAAAATTGGATTTTGTGGGCATGATTTCTGTGGGCTGGTGGTTTTCATTTTAACACACAAGTTATGAATGTTACTCTTGAATTATAGAATCTTTTGATAAGCAATCATAGTTTATCAGAAGAATAAAGTGTCTTACAATGGCCACATTAAATAAATGTAAAATCAATATATGTACAGTTTTCTAAAAACCTGGCACCTACTTCCTGGACCAAGGACATACATCATTTGTGCAGCATATAGCTAACAACTATCAGTGCTTCTTGCTGATGGTATGCTGTGACATTTAGTGGTTGTGATGATTGATTTTCCACTTGCAAGAATATCTTCTTTGTTTTTAAGTCGATGGAAGTCTTTTCTAATGTTCACTTGCAGTGATAAAATCCTAATGCAGAGTATTTAAGCCACTTCTCTAAAATATCAGTTTAAGAAGAGAATGCATTAAAAATCATTACTTAAGTTTATGCATCCCTTAGTGAATAGAGATTTCCTAATCTAATTTTATGCATTTTAAGTGCTCTGAATTCAATGGGCCATTAAAATGAGTAAATTAAAAACAATATACTTAGCGCAAAAAGAGGATATACCCATCTCTGTCTTTCAACAGTGCTACACTCATTGATCTGTTAACAAGAATAACACAAATTCCTCATGACATACACAGTTGCAGTTTATTTATCTCAGCTTCATCTTGCCCCCCAAATCTTTTGAAACACAGTTAGAATGCTACTACTTTTCACAATGTACTATCAAAGTTTATATTACTTTGTGAAATTCTGAGATGTACACATGTCAAATGCAGAGTTAAGGGAAGTGTTGTTTTTTTGTGGAATTTGAAAAGAATCATCTACATGGTTGAAACATTTTTATGCATGTATTTGTAAAGAAAGTTAACCTTAATTTTCTTTACTTAAAGACCTGATTATTTTTGAACTTATATCAGATAGAAATTTCTTTAAACTAATTGGGAAAGTAAGAGTCTTTGGCTGGAAACATTCATTAAGAATTCCAGAACTTTCACTGTTGAAGAATTATTAGTAATGTGTCATAGTGGAATCTTTCAATGACTCCATGTGCTGTGCAATGTGATGATCTGAGAATTCCCATTGCACCCTTTTAGCAAACACTATGCTTTCCTGGTTTAGAAAAAAAAATGTTTATCTATCTTGTTTTTGAATAGTTTCATGATATATTTTGAAGTGCTTTCCCCCCATATGTTTTCTTAGAATGAATAGAGCCATAAAGAAATCTCCCACTACATGTATTTATGTAAGTCAGCCTTGCCCAGTAGTCAGTATTGTGAAAACCGGGAGGCTGTATAAAGTGATGTATGAAGTGGTTATCTGCCATAAGAATAGAAGGACTTTGCCGAGGTCAGCTGTGTCTTTGAGTGGCTGTTACGGTTTTTGCTTTCATTGGTTTATGAGGACTCATACTCAGTAGTTATATTTGTTTCACTGTTAATCTTTGATACTTGTTTTGGTTTTTTAATTCATTCTAATAGTTAGTTAGTTTACGCATATATTCCATATGTGCTCAGTTCGTTCTCATGGCTTCTCTGAGTTTGAGTTCTGCATTTAAGATACTAAGGTGTACAAAAAGTGTCTATAGTTTCATTTTGGTGGTTGGATTTGTATACAACTTTCAGGACAAGGATTCAGGATCAGGTTTATTTTCTCATCTGTGAAGAATGACTTCATGTAGAGTATACTAATTTAACAAAACAAATTCTGAGTTGATAATTTTTCTCTCAGATTTTAGAGATAATGCCTGCTTTATTCTGGCACTTTGTAGCATACCTGTTGGTCAGCCTACTTTTGCTTTTTAAGAAATCTTTAAAAACAACTCTTGTTCTTCATAGCTTGGCTAATAATAGTAGTAATAACAAAACAAAAATAATAAACATGGCCTTTGTAATCCTGTTGCTATCCTAAGTCTCATTCTTAACTGCTGTCATTAATTTCATCTGGAACACAGTAGCTCTTTTGATCCATATATTAAAGTATTGCTTTCATTTTTGGAAAGTTTACTTCAGTTATAATTTTGATTATTACTTCAGTTCTATTTGTTTTCATTTCTTCAAAGAAATTCAATAATATGAGGCTTGAGGCAGTATTGCTTAGAGGCAGAGTGTAACTGAGTTCCAGCTGCCCAGACTGGCACATACCTCTGCTGTCTTAATGGTGGTGTACTGTCTGGCTTCTCAGGTATCTTCCTTGCCTCAGAAGGATTATGTGCACAAAGGGAAACCCACCCAGGAAACTTGGGAATCCCACTCTGATGTACAGTGACTGCCTATTTCCAGGCTTTCATTTCTAGCCCATTACAGTGTGGACTCTTGCCTACTTCCATTTTTCTACCTAAACTTTTGCATGTAGCAGGACGAATGGACACACATTATCATAAAAATGCATAGCTTGCATGAAGAATTGAGTGTATTGACTGAGTCAGCCCTGGCATACTGGTTTTGCTGTCATGTTGGTCTTGTCCTTCGATTAATTTCTCTGAGGTGGGCAGCTTCTTTACTTGTTTAATTGTTTTGCTGCTTGGCTTTCCTTCCAACATTAGATTCATTTTTCTTTTCCTTTGGGTGTGAGTGTATATGCCATTTTCCACTTTTAGTCTTTCTTTGAGTATCAGACAGCATGGTCTAGGGATTTAGATTTGAATTACACTCTTGTGTTTGTGTGTTGTTAAGTAAGTGTATTTTTCTCTATGCCTCAGTTTGTCTCATCCTTTGTAACACTTACCTAGTTCTGACTACTATGAGGGGGCTCAATGGGTCAACTTTAATCACTGGGATGTACCTGGTTGAAAAGATCCATATGGTAGTTGCTACACTCCCTTTTAATGGCAGTCCCCATTACTCTTTGTAGTCTCAGAGACGTTTGGAAACCTCTTGTTGAGACTTCCAAATAGACTTTGGGTTTTCCTTTGGCTTCTGAGTACTCTTAAGGTATGTTTAAATACATTATTTTATTTTTTTTCCTTTTGGTCTTTGGAATGGTATTCTGCATCAATTATGTTTCTGTTTGCTTTTTCCTCTATCCTAGCAAGAACCATGTTAGCAAACAGATTCAGAGCTTAGTTGACTCTTGGTGAACCTAATTTGATATTTTTGAAGTTGTAGTAGTTACTTTCTGTTGCTATGATAAAAATAGTGGCCAAAATTAACTAGGAGAAAAAAGGGTTTATTTGGCTGTGGTAAGACATCATTGAAGGATGATAGAGCAGGAACTTAAATAGGAACCTTGAGGTAAGAACTGAAGCAGACTGTGGGAGAACACTGCTTGTTGACTTGCTTCCCAGATTGGTCCTCATGGCTTTCCCAGCTGGTTTTGTATATAATCCAGGTTCACCTGTCTAGGGCTAACACTGTCCACATTATGTTAGATGTTCCCACATCATTTGTCAATCATGAAAATCCCCCACAGGCCAGTTGATGGAGGCGTTCCTTAGCTGAGGTTTCTCTTTCCAGGTAACTCCTACATGTGTCAAGTTGACAGAAACTAACCAGCATGGAGGTATTATAGAATCACTTTCTTATATCCAAAAGAAAGGCCTTCGGATGAACTAGATCTTCTTTGACTTGAGGAATTTGGTGAAGCTGGTTTGGCCAGAGAGAAGTATAGGTGTCTCTTATGATCTCCTTTAGTCTTAGGTGTTCTGCATTGATGAATAGGACAGACAAAAGCAGTCTTTCCTTTTACTGTCCAAAATAAAATGCCAGCTCCCCTGTCCTGCCTATTGAACTGGTATGTCTGATGTGATGATATCTTAGGGAAGAATGGGCTTTGGAGAACTTGGATTCTGGTCACAACTCTTGTTTTTAATGACCATAGGCAAGTCTCTAGTTTCCCAGCAGAATCATCTCTTTAACAAGAACCTGGTATGGGCCATAGCATCCCTAGCAGCAGGCTAGAGCAAGATCCTCAATCCAGGGTGGATATTGTCAGTCGTGGACCCTTAAAATTATCCCTGCAGCCCATGAGAAAGAGATCTAGTTTATCTAAGTCAGCCTGCCATTAGTCTTCAGGAATTTAACGATCTATAATCAGAGGTGAGGTCTGTTAAAGGGTTAGAGTTGTTAATGAGTTGTAGTAGTATATGGCCTAGGACCGTGTTTTCAAGATGCTATATGGATAAGGGATTGAGTTAGGAGCTGGCTCTCTGCTACTTCATCAGGCATTCACACTGAGGTACAGCACTAAGGAGGCCCCTTGCTGATTTCCTCTATTACAATTCAGTGATACAGGGCCTGCATTACTGTGTGGAAACTTGCTGGTCTCCATCAAGCTTCCCCATGGCAAAGTAAAGGCCTAAGTGTAGTGCTTTGCTGAACACAGTGCTTCACTGTTCTGCGTCAGAGTTATCATTTCCAGGAATTTCTAGAAAAGCAATGGCTTTGCACCCTCCCAACAGTAAGAGCCCAGTGGCAGTGACAGGTGGGTGCCATTCTGAGAGAGTTCTCTGTGTCTCTTTGTGTCTGGCTAATCCGGGGCTCTAAAAATTCTCATAAAATTAGAGGAAGGAATAACAAAGATTTGGTTAGCTTGCTTGTTTGAATCAAGCTCTGTTTATGTATCTCCAGACTGACCTCAAATTAGCAATTCTCGTATTTCATCTTCCTGGTTATTGGATTATAGGCGTAGGTATGTGCACCACACTTACTCAAAGATTCTATTTTGTAATGTATGGATCTCTCTCTTCAGAGAATTCTCTGCTTGGGACTTGGGAGAATCAGTCATTTATAAGTTGCCAACATTAAGGCAAGAAAAAATTGAGTTTGAGTAGTCTTTATCAGTTCAAAAAATGAATTTGTCCTTAGAAATCACATAAAGAAGTCTCATTATCTGTGTTGATTTAACAGAATATACCTAGCCTGTGCAGTCTATAACAACAGAAACTTGTTCTCACAGCTCTGAGGCTGTGAAGATCTGGGATCAGTGTCTGGAGAGAAATGTCTTCCCTGCTCCAGAGGACACTGCTATAGTCTTTGCATGGTATGAGGGATGTATCTGACTCCTTAGTGGCAAAAAACAGGCAGCAAAAGTGCCTATTTAGCTCTTTTTATTCCCTTTATAATGCCACTGGTATCCCTTTCCTGAGCGAACAGCTTATCAAAAGTTTTCCCTCCTAATACCATCACTTTGAGCATTGGATTTCAACAGAAAAATTTGAGGGATACAAACATTCAGACCAAAGGCATATGCAAATGGCCTCATGGTACAAAAGTAAAGAAAAATTCTGTTAGAGACCTGAAAGAGCAAACCCGTCACAAGTGCTGGGATAGTAAGTACAGGTCCTAACAGTATCCTTAGCTCTGTTTCTCTGGTAACTCCTCCAATTCTCATGCTCTTCTGGTAAGACTAAAAATTAATTAGAACCAGTCTTCTGGGCCTGGAGAGATGATTTAGTGGCTAAGAGGACTTGTTACTCTTACAGAGGACTGGGTTTAACTCCCATTTGCAAGCTACATGGTGGCTTGCAACCATCTATAACTCCAGTTCCAGTGGGTTTGACACCCTCTCTTCTGACTTCTTCAGGCATCAGGCATGCATGTGATACATATGCATACACTCAGACAAAACACTAGTATACATTGTAAAAAAAAACCTTGAATAAATAAAACAAGCCTGTCATATATTTTGTCCATCAAATGGGAACATAATAATAACCTGTGACTTAACATTCCCACCCTTTGTTATATGAACCTTATACATGTGAGTGAGTTAATCAGGAAATTTGGAAAGAATGTCTGCAGAAGCCCTGTTCATAAAAGCCCTGAATGGTGCTAAAGCAAGTGGTTGTCCATGGAAGGAGAACATGAATTGTGATGTAGTCATACATTGCCTGCTTCACAGCATCGACAAAGAACCAACTGCTGCTGCTGTGTGCCACAGCGTACAAAAAGCTTACAAGGGCAGTTTTAGAAAGGGCAGCAGGGGAATGGCACATGTTTCCATTTGTGTGAAACTTAAATGGCTGTGTGACTTGCAACAGTGATCGGTCCCAGGGTAGTGATGGGTTTCAGGTGTCATTGACTGAGAAGTACAGTAGAGGAGCTCCTTGGATTCTATTTTTTTCCCTTTTTGTTTCTTCCTTTCCTCCCCCCTTTGCTCATTCCTTCCCCTCCGTCCTCCATTTTTTTCTTTCTGCTTCTTTGTTTTTCCCTCAGTTGGTCATAGATGCATGATCCTCCAGCCTCGGCCTCTGAGTATCAGGGTTATACTCACATGTGGCTTAAATTCTTTATGTGATTTTATCCTTCATGTTATGTGCATTAGACCTAATTTTGTTTTTGTTGTGTTTTTTGCTGTGATCAATTAAAATATGTGAGTAAATATAACTGAATAAAGTGGCTCAAGACAGCTTGAAAGTAAACACTGATGACGGGCAAGTTAAACCCTTCATTTACACACAGAAGAGATTCAGCATATGATTGCAATGATCTCATTTCATTCATTCTCTTGCCACATCAATGTGTGTGTGTGCATGGGTGTTTATGTGTCTTGTGTGCGTGCATGCATGTGTATGTGCACATACATGTATGTGTATGCATATGTATACATGTTTGTGTGTGTGTGTATGTGTGTCTATGAACCATGTATATATGCATGACTCAAGGAAGGAAGTTCCTTTCTCCTTATAGGAGGAAAACAGTTCCATTAGTCTGTGGGAAGTTCATAAAAGAATGTTAGTAACCTGCCCATATCTATTTCATTTCTGAAAGTTGATATCTGTTTCCTAAATTGGGTAAGTAAAGGGAACTCTATCCATGCGATGCTTGTGAAAGCTTTTTTATTTTCATTTTTAAAATTAAAATATAATTACACTATTTCCCCTTTTCATACTCTGTTTCCTCCATGTACCTCAGCCTCATGGCTTCGGGCCTCTCTTTCTTTAAGATGCTTGTAAAAGCTTCATGGCCACAGAGTGCTCTACACTGATGGGATAGTTTTCAGTGGATACTTCATGGGGTCGTGGCTACTAGAATCATTGGAATGTCTCACTTTTCTTTTCTTTTGTTTTTCCTCTGCCACCTTGGCTTTCCCTGTTACTACCATGATGAACTGATGCGATGTGTTCACTTCTCAGGTACAAGTATTTGGACTCTATTCTGGAGAAGAATTCCATGAGACTTTCGACTGTCCCATTAAAGTAAGTACTTAGCAAAGTTTCCCTCATGAGGAAGCTTTATCCCCTAGATGAGGATGACTTTGGTGGTCGAGACAATGTCCATTCTGTTACACCAGTGTCTGTTCAGTCCGTGGTGTGCTAGTGCAACTTGAATGCAGGGACTGAGACCAGATGTAGAATATGCGACTGTGTTCTCAGTCTGTGCTCTGGGAGCTTTTATTAGAGTGGATGAATCACACACACCATTCTGACCAAAGAGTGACAAGGTAAAGTTCTGGGATAAAAGAAGCCATGTTTAGCTGCATTAGCTGGTGGTGTTGTGTTTTGTTTTGAGTGATAACGTCATAGGTTGAGTGATGTCTGGCTGAGCTTTGAGACAGAGACAGGTTCAGGTGGGAACTAGTCTTCCATGTATAAGAACATATTAGAAATGGAGAGGCCAGCCGGGCGTTGGTGGCGCACGCCTTTAATCCCAGCACTCGGGAGGCAGAGGCAGGCGGATCTCTGTGAGTTCGAGGCCAGCCTAGTATCCAGAGTGAGTGCCAGGATAGGCTCCAAAGCTACACAGAGAAACCCTGTCTTGAAAAACAAAAACAAAAACAAAAACAACAATAACAACCAAAAAGAAATGGAGAGGCCAGTCAGTTCCAACTGTGTTCAGGAAGTGGCAGAAAGTCTTGCCTAGATGTGCATGAACAAGTAAAGAGGCAATAAAAATCAGACTAGAGCATGCTGGATCTTCAGACTAAGGAATTTGGTTTCCATCTAATAGATTATTAAGTGCCTAAGAACAAGAGTGGTGTAGATGAACCCTGGCTCTTGAAGGGCCAATAACTTTATGCAGTAGAGATGGCAGCTCTGTAGGTAAGAGGCAGGGAGATCAGCTAGAGATACCAATCACAGTTAAGTATCTGTTGTACTCTTAAAGAAGGTGATTTTCTTTCACATGCTTATTCAAACATTGATTGACCAGTAGTAAAGGATAGATAAGATCCTAAGTCTTCCCCATGAGTGAGACAGGCACTGGGAGGAAGGCTTGGCTCAGCTGATGCAGGCATGGAGGAGCAGTTAGTACATCAACCATCATGGCTTGTCTTTCTGTACGTGTGTGTGTTGTGTGTGTGTGTGTGTGTGTGTGTGTGTGTGTGTGTGTGTTAGTATTCTTGAGGAGAGATGCTTGTTGCAGGTTATGAGAGAGCTTGCAAGACTCCTTAGAGATTTTAAGAACTTGGAGTAATGCAATGTGTTGGAAGTTAGGATGGGTTAGGGCAGAGCTAAAGAGAATATTGACCAAACAAATAGGAATATTCACAGGTATGAGAGGAGGTATGTTAAACGCTGGTGATGATGGTGTAGAGAAATCCATTAACCTGTCCCATTAACCTATCCCATTGGAGGAGGGAAATGTATTAGTTAATTATAGAAATGTGAAATGTGTTCAACCGAAGGTTAGTAAAGTTTCTGATATCATGGACAGTTGGGGATGAAAAGGTAAGAAGCGGGAAACTTACATTCTGAGAGATGGGTCTCAAAGAGAACGAGGCTGATGGGAGCCCCTGGAATGTCACGGCTGCTTTCCTCTTTCAGGGCAGTCGTAGAGCAGCCTGGGGGAAGTCCTGCACATGGCCAGGTTCCCTGGGCTCTGCAAGGCAGTGTACTTAGTTACCAGTGGTTGAGATATCACAACCATTGGTAACTAAGTACACTGCCTTACCTGAATGTATTGCTCCCTGCTGAGGTCCAGTCTTTAGATCATGCTACTCAGAGTGGACAGAGGGTTCTCAAGTGTTCCTGAAACTTTTAAACTGGGCTTGGGTACTTTTTCTTTTGTAGATCATTGCTGTGCACCCACAGTTCGTGAGATCCAGTTGTAAGCAGTTTGTGACAGGAGGGAAAAAGGTAATGCTGGGTGTCTCTGCCGGGATATATGCTCTCTGACAAATGATGGTGTAAAGGAACTGCGAGACTTGATCTCTAGGAGACTTGCAGCCTCAGTTAGCGCAATACCTGCCTTTCAAGTAGGTAACACCTCAAGTATGAAAATAGTGACTCTTATAAACACACACACACACACACACACACACACACACACACACACACACACACACACACACACACACACACACACACACACACACACACACACACACACACACACACACACACACACACACACACACACACACACACACACACACACACACACACACACACGGCAGCATTTAAGAGTAACAAAAAACTATTGAATTAGGGATTGTTCCTCCTGTTTGTGACAAGCCTCCTGTAGCCTGTGGTAATGTGAGGAGTTACTACTGCTCCTAATTGATTTCTTCATGGCACTTGGTATGATTTCAGTGCTACTCAAAACAGTGAACAAGTGAGACTTCCCTGAACATCTCTCTGTTTATAGAAATAATGAATCCTGAAATTAATGAATCATGATGACTGTTATTAACAAAGTTTTTAAAACTTTTTAAACTAAGAAACACTATCACATGCTAGAAATGAAAATATTACTTGTATAGAGCCCTTGAAAAAGAGGTAGTGAATGATTTCAGTAGTTATGAAGCTGTGAGATGGTAGCTTTGAGATCCACATTCCAACGCCTCCAGAATGTTCCAAGATTTGAGTTACTTGTCCTCTCCCTGAGTACGTAGAATGAGGTGCCAAGAAAGCACACTGCTCATTACCTCTTTCTTCCCAAGGTTAATGTGGCAGACCTGGGGTCTCATTCTGTGGCACAGAATCAAAATGATACCAGTTCTGATTTCTTCTTAGGAGTTACCCTTTCCCTTCCCACTTTCTAGCCCATTGTCATCTTTTGGTTTTGTCCCATTCACATCATACAAAGTGTTTACACTGTTAGTAATGGGACTCTTAGGCTTAATCTGACTTTCTGTGCCTTAGGCAGAATTAAGTACTTCCTTGTCTTTGATAACTTTGAGGAAGAATAATTTTAAAACCACTCATTTCATTATTTAACAGATTTTGGTTAGGATATTTTGTTTGCATAAATCCACTTCACTTTGATTGCAACCCATGCACTCAGTTAGAATTTGGTGAAGATAAAGAGTTAATGATCTGCTGCCATTCTTAAACAGGACTTAAAACGGGATGTTTAGTAGTTTGGGGTCTAAGAGCTCAGAGATTAGGTGCTGGTTGAGGGTCTAGGCAAGCACTCCACAGCGGGTTACATCCCAGCACCAGTACTACTCTTGAAGCATTCTTGAGCTCTCTTAAGAAGCCATTATAAAGTATTCAACGTGTTAGGAGCTTTATGGAATATGTATGTGCCCTTTATCTAAAGAGTGTGACATGCAAACTATTGATTTGTTTTCTTGTATCCATTGAGTTTATTATGTTAAGTCTGCACTTTGCAAATAGTAAAATGTTGCATTTGTTTTCATAAACTCTAGTGACATCTTTAGTTAAATGATATTTCAAAATTTACTGGCTTGGTGTGGTTGTAGAAATCTGTAGAACATTTCATATGTGCATACAGTATACATGTTTAAAGATTACCTTTGCTACATGCTTTTCACATTATTGTATTTTATTATAATTTGTGTGTTTAATTGAAGGTATAATTGAATTATTTATTATTTACTTACTTACAGGTTCTCTTGGAATTAGTGATGTAGACCAAATTGGCCTTGAACTCACAGAGAGTTATCTGTCTCTGTCACCCTAGTTCTGGGTCTAAAGGCAGGTGTCAGCCCACCTTGTCTAGGCTAAGAAATCTATCTTGTTTGTTTGTTTGTTTTAACTATTTTATGTGTATGGGTGCTTTGCCTGCATGCATATCTATGTACCAGCACCATATCTTGGCTAAGAAATTTATCTTGCTTTTTAAAAAAGTTATACATATGGGTATTTGCCTTCATGTATAGTACCACATGCATTCCTGATGCCCACAGAGTCCAGAAAAGGACATCTGATTCCTTGGAACTAGAGTTACAGATGGTATGAACCACCTTGTGGGTATTATTCAGATTTGTGTCTTCTGGAAAAATAGCCAGTGCTCTTAACCACTGAACCAGCTTCAGCACCTTGATTTTTTTTTTTTAAGTAAGAAAAGGCTTTTAAGTAAGAAAAGGTGGTGGCACACACCTTTAATCCCAGCACTCAGGAGGCAGAGGCAGGTGAATCTCTGTAAATTCGAGGCCAGCCTATGATCTATGGAGTGAGTTCTAGGACAGCCAGGGCTATTACACAGAGAAACCCTGTCTGGGGGTGAAAATGCTTTTATAGATGATGCTAAGTAGTGACTATTATTAGTGATTAACTTGTGAGTCTGTGCATGTCCATGTGTATGTGTGTATGCATGTGATTGTGTCTGACCATGCAAGTGGAGACCAGAAGATAAACTCAGCTGTAGTTCACTTATTTATTTATTTTTGTTTTGTTTTGGTTTAAAGAGAGTCTCTCACTGACCTGAACCTCACTATGTAGTATAAGATGACTAGTCGTTGAGCCTCAAGAAATCTGCTTTCCTTTGGTTCCCCAATACTGGATTAAAAGCATATGGTTGGCTTCCCTTGCTTGGCTTCTGGGGATCAAACTTAAAAGGCAGGCACTTTGTAGGCTCTACTCCAGCCCTTTCTGTGTATACTATATGTGTATTGATCATAGCACCTCCTTGAGTCCTTCTCTTCCTGGAGCAATCAAGCCACTGTCACTTCTTATTTACTGTATTTCCCATTGCATATTTGAGTAGTAGAATTGTCAGTGGAGAGATGCTCATCATCTTTTCTTGTGGTGCTTAATATAGATCAACTATTATTAATATTCCCCTCTTCCCTTTCTTTCTAAGTAGGGCTGGATAAAACAAGTGATTACAGGTACAACCGTTGTTAGTATTATGCATACAAACTAACGTGCTCATTTCAAGGGCTACTTAGCTCAGATCTGCTTCTTGAGCACATCTTTGTGGAGGGTTCCAGATAGTGTTATTGTATGCACACTGTATTGTGACATGGGTGGTGGTTTCCTAAAGAATGTGAGTGGGTAAGTAGTAGTGGAAGGACATTAGTAAGATCATTAATTAATCAGAATGATGATCTGATGAGAAATGAGTGTTCTGAATCCTTGGAAAAATGTATATAGGTATTTTTCTTTATATGTATATATGTAAGGATATAAGTTTTGCTGTGGAGAAATCTCAGTGGTATTTTCTCTGTTTTTAAACTTTAAACCATTATTCCTCTTTGTTATTTTTAACAGTGAAGATTGAAACATACTAAATACCTAGGTGAGCTATGTGCCTTACATCCACAGATCATCAGAATTGCCATGCCTTATTAAGATGTCAGAGAGATGATCTTTTAAGATGGAAGCAATTTTAGGATGTGATTTGGAGGAGGCTTAAGAAGGCAAGTGTTTGTTCTAGAATGGATGCTGTAAGGAGGCCAGAGTAGTTGTGTTCTTGAGTATTTAAATAAGCCTTATACAGGAGGACAGAGGCTAAGCCAAGGCTGAAGTATAATAGTAAAGAAGCAGGGTCTCTCACTTTTGACAAGATGAAGTGTGTGGTTAGTTTTTGGAAAGTATTCATTGACACATGCTTATGGAGTGATATTGTTTGTACCAAAATCGTTCGTGCTCAATAGTGGCCTTGTACACCGCTGGTGCTTGTTTGTCAGAAGACCAAGGCTTCCCTGTAAGTGACAAGGCAGGCCTTTTACAGATGTCTGCCTTTCTCTTTGTCAGTGGGAGTAAGTAAAGTATATGCATCTGATAGAGTGTTTTTGTTGGCATACTTTTCCAAAGTGTATGAAGGGTCCCCTGGCATTGTTTTGGAAATATAATCATGTATGTAGGTACATTCAGGAATGCTTGTGTACCAAATCATTGACTTGATTATGGTATGTCTGAGCAGGATTATGCACATACTTTCTGGTCTTCATTGGCATTTATTTAATCTTTTTGTTAGAAGCATTCATTTATTTTATAACAAAATAGTGAAAGAATGCATAAAGTCATCTCAATCTAGGACTTCTTTTTACTTAAAAATTTGTAGTATATGAAATTTCCTACATTCTTGAAGTTGTTTGTGTAGTATTGTTTAATAGTTGCCTAACTGTCCATTCTATGGATCTGTTTAGTTTTCTTAGCTATTCTGTTATTGAACCTTTAGTTTGTAGCCATGTTTGTCAACAGTCTACTTGTAATGAAGGTAGAGATGATGATGATGATGATGATAATGATGATGATGATGATGATGATGATGATGATGAATTTATTTTTGAGACAGGGTCTCACATAGCCCAGACTTCTGGCCTCAAACTCCTATTTATCTAAGGATAACCATGAACTTCTGATCCTTCTCCCTCCATATCCTGAATGGTAGAGATACAGGAGTACATAATCACTGATTTATATTCTGCTAGGGATAGAGTCCAGGTCCTCATGCTTGTTAGGCAAGTGCTCTACCAACTAAGCTTCAGATCCAGTGCAGTAGTGCAATTAGTTATACAAATTAATAGGTTTCACTGTGACATTTTCATAACACATATATTGTGTTTTGATTTTATCTACCCTTGTTACTGCCCACTCTTTTCTTCCTATTCTCTTTGATTGTGTCTCTCTTCCCTTCCTCATCTACTTATAGATTGTCTTTTAAAAAATCTGTTTGGCTTATTTCATTTAGCACAGTCTCCATTTTCATTCATTGTCTTGCATGTTACATATCATTCTTTGTGATTGACTAGTATCTACTTTGCATTTATGCCATATTTTCCATATTTTCATTATGCTTCCATCTGCTGATGAGTACCTAGGTTTATGTGGTGACATATTATTTATAATTTATTAAAGCTTGCCTGAGGGTACAGAAAGCAAAGCTAGCCACAAGCCACAGAGCCATGCAGTGATGATACATACCTTTAATCCCAGCAGCC